ATTCTTTTAAAAAAAGAAACCTTTTTTAAAGAAATTTTATATGTGCACAAGATGTTTTTTAAAGATATCTCAAGAATCACCAAGCCAATTTTGACGTTTTTACACTATTAAGTGCATCTTGATGAGCTCTACAACTTTTAATTAATTGACAAAATTGATTGTCTTAGTAAAAAAAAAAGTTTTAGATGTAGCATCGCCACATTTGAATCAATAGTAAACTTTATTTATAAAATTTTGCAGATCCCCTCCAGGTGACAAATGGATTATCAATTAAATATTTTAAATAATTAAAAAAGTAGATTAGAGACATATTTATAGTAATTATGCAGGCAAATTTGCCTGTAAATCTCTACCAATTAAGAGATAACTTTCAAATAAAATATAGATATATAGTATTGTAAAATAGAATATATCAAATTTATCTATATCGCTTTGTTAAAAACTTTTATATTACAAGTTGAAGCCATAATAGCCAAATGTGAAAATAAACAATGATTGATTATTTAAATAATATTAAAATTAGTTTGATATTTTAAATTTTAATTGATACCAACTCAGAATTTATTTAATTTCTATATAGCAACAAAAATTTATTAAAAAGTTTTTAACTTATTATTAATAATATTAACAATAATAGCCAACTTCTTGCTATTCAAAAAAGATATAAAAACAAAAATTAGAATTTATAATTAACTCTTCCCAATGATCATTAGACCAAAATTCCTACTGAAGAAAAACAAAACTTTTGTTGAAGAGTTGTGCAGTTTGTTTAGAGATCAACAGTACCACTTTTCTGGAACTTTTCTATAAGTTGTGTATTTGATCTGCAAGCCAAAAGCATTATTAGTATACAAGATAACTGGTTGGAGGTGTGTGCCCTTGAATACAAAATTTTGGTGAAAAAACAACAGTCTGCCCATTGATGAAGTTACTTAAGCTATTACTTTTAGTAGAAGAACACAGAAGAAACAGCAAAACTTTGCTTTTTTTTAAACTGCACTCTTTTACTTAGTCAAGTAGTCCCTCTTTTACTCCTACTCGCCCTCTCGTTGGTTTTCTAAAAAATTTTGATAAAAAGTGGGGATTTGGCTTACCTCTTCTAAAAGATTACCATTGTTTACTTCCTAAATCTAAACCAATTAGTGAAATGCAGCCACATGTTTGTTTATAGACAAATATGGCACTACTTCAAGGGACTTGTTCTGGGAACTTTAATTATAGCAGCAGGTGGCTTGAGACATGGGTCCTCAGACGATAGCAGCATTTGGCTTGAAATACGAATTAGGACAGGCAATGAAGCTATCTGGAGTTGGTAAGAATGTCAAAAACTAAATTTAATACTAGAGTGAAGCTTTATAGTAAAGATATACAAATGTTGTATTTGTTATATAATTTTTATACTTGCTTAGCACGAGCTATAATAGTGCTTCATAAATTGTTATATTTCTTTTTGTTTTTTCTTTTTTGCAATTTGTATCTGTTTTTTCTTTCTTTTCTGTTTTTTCTTTTTTTTTTGTTTTTGTACAACCTTTTTGAAAATTTTCCCTTTTGTTTCTTTTGTTTCATGCCTCTTGAGAAGAAAGAAGAATTAAAAGGGAAAGTTTAACAGTCATGAATAGGCTATACAACAGCCAATGAAGTATCAAAGGGGTATTTTTATAGTACAAAATCTTTAGTAGGTTTTGGATCATAAAAAAAGTGAACAGTTGTTATGACAGGTCAGCTTGGGCAGTATACTTGCATAGCTTTTATTGGATAGAACAATATTTGTAAAAATTATTGTATTCACGTATAGTAGTTATGCAAAATAAAGGTATAACTGTTTAAAAAAAAAAAAAAAAAAGATATAAAAATCTTAATCTCTATCGATAAACAAGTTAGTGCTTTATTCAAAGTTGTGAGCTTATATAATCTAATGGGAAAAAGTCATTAGAACAAATATATGTCTATTAATAGTTTTTATATGTCTAATGATATTTAATGGCTATCTATTCACAACCCTGCCTTATTAATTTTATATAGTCAATGAATATTCAGAAAAAATTAAAATGAAGGGCATAAAGAATAATCAATTGCAAAAAGAGTATATAAATTATCGAAAAACATCACAGAAAACAAACCAAATAGTTAAAAAAAACTAAATAAATTTGTAATATCACAATGTAAACACCAAGCAATTTTTCACTAGAACTGTTATATATAATATAATATAGAATACTCATTTCAAACTTCCTCTAAACAATCCAACTAAGCTTATTCATATTTCAATTCGGATATTCAATGTAGGTATGTTTTTATTATTACTTAGGTATTATCCAGGTTCTATCCAGATAATATCATCTAGATATTTTATCTAGTATTATTCGGGTGCTGAGTTCACAACCCAGATATCCGACTATCTGCGGATAACTCTAGTGATACCCTACCCAAGTACCATTACTAGGTGAGTCAGTAGAAATACACCATATTTTTTCTAAGTAAATTTTTTTGAAACTTTAAACAAGAATAACTTAACAACAACTTAATTAAATTTAATAAAATTTTTTTAAAATAATTCAAAAACTTGTAAAATTTATTTAAAAAATTTTTTACTAAGTTTGGTTAAGTTTTTGCTAAATTGTTCTTATTTGAAGATCTAAAAGAATTTTATTAAAAAAAATATGGGTGTTTTTACTGGGTTTACTTATTTCTTACTGTGATACAAATCACATGAAATTATAAATAATCTATTTGCTATAAATTTGCTTTAACTTTAAAGTTAGAAAGAATACACTAGTCAGAATATGAACAATCGGGCATATGTCTTATTTTAAACTAATTTATGCCCGATTGATGTTAAATTGTAAATTCGCCATATCACCGATTGATGCAAAATGATGCAGCAACCCGATTTGTGTAAGTTTGTAAAATAGACAATCCCGATTAATGCCAATTGATGGCACAAATCGGCATGCAATAAGTTATTCAATTGTTCAATAAATTACCAAGGTGAGTATGAAGTTTAATTCAATTCGCATTAACAACTGTGTTTTAAGAGAACGTGTGATTAACCATAATCATTTAAATCGCTCAATAAATTACCAGGATGATATAAGTTTAATTTAGGAATCATCCAGGGCGACCATAAAAAGTGCAGTAACGTGACCTGTAGCGCAGCCAAACCAAAACTGCACACAACTTTATATACAACTACAGCTATTCACAAGAAAAAAATATTCGCGATATAACTTTACCACGAACAGGCCTAATTTCTTTTTTACTTAATTTCCGGTCAAATTAGAATTTTGAAAATCATCGGCCTAAGCTAGATTAATGCAGGCCAAATGTCATGATCACGTTACTGCACTTTTTATGGTCGCCCTGGATGATTCATATGAATGTCGATCACTCAAGTTTCATAGTAAAAAATTTACCCCCGTGATCTGCGTGACAAATCGTGTGACTGCTATGTAATGATCTAAGAGCCTTCGAGTGAGGTGGCCTTTAGAGAATGTTTTTTTTTATCGTAATTTTTTTTTTTAATGTAAGTAATTATTTGGTCTTGCTTTAACGCTAAAGAATATATATATTTAAATACGTTGTTTAATTCTGCTTGATTTTTTTTTTTTATTTTTTTTTTTAGAATAGAGGATTAGTTGGGATTAGTTGTGCTTTTGTCTTTTAACATGAGTTTGAAACGGATTTTAATTTCGTAATCGGTTTTACATATAAAAGAGCTTAGGTAAGAGAATCCAGGTCTTAATTATTATAAAGTTTTATTTTTATTTTTAATCTCATTTCACGTTTTATAGATCCATTTCGATAAGGTGCTTTACGTACAGTACAGTACCTATTAGCGAAACGAGTCAACAATGCAGTGAGGATTTAAATAGGTACTTAGTGTCAAATAAACCTTTTATCATCTCTGTATTGACGCTTTAAAATGGTATTACCAAGATTACAAGACTTTATTTTCGCTGTACCAGTATTATCCTTTGGGTTGACTTGAATATAATATCTTATGTGGAGAGTTTATTCTTCTCGTGTTCAATGGACTAAAAAGCTCCATTATCTTTACGAAAACCCATGGAATTAAATATAAAAGATAGGTTTATTGACCAACTTAAAATTTGGTTATTATGCTAACGTAAATATTCTCTATTGCCTCTTTATATTTTCATTATTGTTGATTTTAACAATTTTATATATCATATAGTGATAGAAAAGGGAAACTAGCAAATTGATGCATTATCATTACTTTTCGGATTCAGTCTCTGCGAACAAGCGCACCATAACTAGAGTCTTGAAAAAATATTTTTTTCAAATTAATTAAATTATAACAAACGCTGCATAATAGCTCTGAATGTCTCAAGTACGGCTGATCAACGGGTAGCAAATTTAAGTTCCTCTGATGATAGATCATTCTACGAAAGCGATACTGAAAATTCATGGTATCTACGAAGGCAATATTCTTTTAATAACTAGGCCACGAGAATAGCTGATATATCATCATAACAAAACTGTCGATGTAAAAATGTTCTCGCATTTTGATTTTTTAATACCACGTTCATAATACCCTATTTACTATTTTGTCAATTTATGGGTAACCCTAATTTGAACGCAAAAAAAATACAAGAACGTTATTTCTAGAGTTAGACGAAAAAAAAAGAGCATTAATCGAAATAGGGGTATAATCCCTCAAAATGTTCCAAATTTACATTTCAATTATTCAAGCTTCAATAATTGGCTTAAATATATTATGAATTTGGGTGGATACTGAACCATTTATAACGAACGGTGTTACTTTTCAGGTAGAATATGAACTATTACCGATATGGTTTGATATGATCATTTTTATTACGGTTTTTAATATTGAATTTTTAACATTGAATAATTTGATATTTTGAAATAGGCAAAAGAGACTCAATATCTCATAAATTAGACTCAGAAATTGGTAATATAATTAATGAAAAGCATCGCATTACACATTTATTTTACGTTGGGCTATGCCAGCAATTATTTTAGACCGGAAGCAAATTTTTTATTGCAGCAATAGAAATGATGTCTAGTACATGAAGACTATTAAGCGAGTGATCGGCTGAGATTGGCTGAGCGGCAATGACATCCCAGGAAGTTTGCAACCATTGTTGCGCTGGAGTCGCCGCAGGAAATAAGAGAGCAGAGAAATGGTAGAATCACGTAGTCACCCATTCTGGGTGGGTTGGGTGGGTGGGTTGCGGGCGAATCTTTTGATCGGGTCTGATACC